AGAGAGAGAGAGAGAGAGAGAGAGAGAGAGAGAGAGAGAGAGAGAGAGAGAGAGAGAGAGAGAGAGAGAGAGAGAGATTGCCACACTGTCCACGAGCTGATTCGGGCGCATGCCGCTCCTTTTCCTCTTCGCGCGGTCTTCCAGGAAATGCTCCAAGATGCACACCTAGCAATATGGTTGCTCGAATGTTTCGTAGTGAACAACAAATGCCAAGTGGATGGATATTGAATACTTGGTTTATATGTTATAGGACCTGCTTAACAATAATGACACTCATAAACGACGACGACTTCCTACAATTGCCCCTGAACAACTTTCAATTGCACCATTTTTGCCTATTGAACCTAGACTAGCACACACGCACACAGGGTTGGAGTGAGTAAGATCGACCACTTTTCTCAGGGGTATTGCGAACTCCGGGTGACGTGGTGAGTCGTCATCCAGCAGTCAAATGCATCTTGGGAAGACTGTTGTGGTTCAACCTCCTGATAAGTCGGTGAAAGTCGGCAAGGCTAGTAGGCTAGTTGACTCCTATGGTTGCATGTGCGTATCTGCGTTCTATAACTATTATAATGTATAAACGAAAATAAGAGGAGGGTATGTATCTGGTCTTCATCTCGAGTCGTCGCTAAGTACCCTGTCTGTTTGAGGAGCCTTCGGGTGTTGTAGAGAGGAAAGTCGTCTATGCCATACAAATCATCCCGGGCAGTAAAACGCCAAAGGGGAGGATCTAAGGGATGACTCCGACCGAGTTGGATGAACTTCGACAAAAACTCACAAGAGCTCACAATGAAGGGTTGGATACGACCTAGTACATCTCCCTATGTTGCACCGGTGCTTTTTGTCCCAAAGAAAGGGGGATCACAGAGGACGTGCATTGATTGTAGAGGCCTCAATGCCATCACCGTTAAAAACATAGAGCCTCTACCCCGGATTGATGACCTATTGGATAGGGTGCAAGGATGTAGGTACTTTATTAATACAGACTTAAAGTCCGACTGCCATCAGATTACGATCAGATCAAAGGATCAGCACAAAACCACTTTCCAGACCAGGTATGGTTTGTACGAGTTTGTGGTAATGCCTTTTGGCCTTTGCAATGCGTCGGGTACATTCCAACACGCCGTGAATCGGGTATTTCACGACTACTTAGATAAGTTTATCATTGTGTACCTTGACGATATTCTTATCTTTAGTAAGACTGTTGAGGAGCGTGTGCAGCACGTTGACCTTGTGCTTGGACTCCTACGACAACACAAGTGTAATGTTAACCTGGAAAAATGTGAGTTTGGTCGCATCAAAATCTTATACTTGGGTCATGAAATATCCGCAGATGGACTTAGGCTCGAAGATGCGAAGGTGGCTAGCATCCGTGACTGGCCACGACCTCAGTCTGTGACGAAGGTCAGGTCCTTGGGGATGATAGCCTACTACCACAAGTTTGTAAAGAACTATAGTACAGTGGAAGCCTGCTTGATGAATCTAACTCGCCTTGACACCACTTGGGAGTGGACCGATGATTACGAGAGAGCCTTCCAGAAATTGAAGCATGCTCTAATGCATCACGAGGTCCCAATTCTTCCCAATCCTGATAAGCCATTGTGAGCAAGCCAATATGGTGTTGGGGCAGTTCCGGCTCAACATGAGGGGAAAAAGTTGAGGCCTATCGAGTATATGCACAAGAAGATGCCATCTCAAAAGTTGGCAAAGTCCACCTACGAGCGCGAGCTTTATGCCCTTTACAAGGCACTTCCATTCAGGCATTACCTGTTGGGAAAATTCTTTTATGTGGGATCAGACCATCAGACCCTCAAATGGATTAAGATGCAGCGTATTGAGCCCTACTCTCTCTAATGCACTCAAGCGATGGATTGAGGTCATAGATCAATATGACTTCAAGCTTGAGTACTTGAAGGAAGAGTACAACAAGGTTGTTGACGCACTCTCACGTAGGGCAGACTTTCTGGGTGCGCTGATAACTGAGTCTTGCTTACCTAACAATGCAACTCGATCTTTGGTGGATGCCTACAACGAAGATCCTATGATGATGGGCATCATTCAC